CCCCCCCCTCCCTCCGCTGACACCCCCGAGGACAAGACCTTATCCTATTATTGTTCACCAAAGCCACTATAATCTAAGAGTCACTACGCAAGTACTATCACAAATGACAAAAATAAAATAAATTACCAAAATATAATCTACCACTAAAGGTCTAAAGGTCACAAAACAGTTGAAGAAATAAAATAAAGGAATTAACGAGAACTACAATCTACAACTAAAGGTTAGAAAAACAGTGAAGAAATAAAACAAAGGAACTAAAGGGACTATAATCTACAATTAAAGGATAGAAAAATAGGTAAAAAAAAATACAATACACGAGTTAAAGGTGGTTATAATCTACAACTAAAGTTTACAAAGAAAATGTGCAAAATTAGAACAGGACTACTAGGGGATATTTGAATTAAAGATTCAAAATAAAGTTGTAAACAGGTAGATAACACTATAAACAAGTAGGCAAAGCTATCCCTAATGCAATTAATTTGACAATGCTAGGAAAAATACTACCTAAAGATTCAAGAACAAAATAGGCAGACAAGAAGATACAATTACGCTAAAATATCAAACTATTAAAATATCAAGACAAGAGAGGAACAATAGAACCTAGATTGCAGCCCTTGAAATTAACGGAAATCTGGCCGTGATGGATTGCTTTCTGGAAATCTTTTGGGAAACACTTTGAATATGGAAGTAAAACTACCAAAAATAATTGTGTACTCTTTCTTGTTCTGATAATGGAAAATGGAAGAAAGAGATAAATTTGACGGTGTTGGATGGATTTCACACTCATAGGAAAGATCAAAGACAATTCACGTAACAAGTCTGTTGGGCTAAAATCAGTCCAAAGATATTTTTAATATGATGTGATATTGTTTGCTTTGGACCAAGCACACAAGATTTTCCCAAAAGGCCTCATACCATCCGCAAGTTAATTTTTGAGATTCACTGTGATACCCACATCGTTAGATACTTATGGCAACTGAAGCCTGTAACTAGCTTCTTTTAATTTTGTGCGTGCGTCGTCACCATCTCTCTTCCATCTCCGTACTCGTCCCCCAAACCTAAGCTTTGATATAAGTTGTTGGGCTAAAACCAATCCAAAAATATTTTTAACATGGTGTGATATTGTCCACTTTTGTTATATGCCCACACGATTTTTTCCATAAGGGCTCACATCATTAAGTGATCTTTACACCTTATATGTAGGTTCTCAATTTTTTTAATTATAAATGTGAGACTTTATTCACATGCCCAACAAAGAGAATTTTATGGGAAATATAGCTGGAGTCAGAACAAATACAGGGTTCCACATTTGACAATTTTTAGCTCTACTTGAGCTGTCCTATATTGACCCCAAAATTAACTTTCATATATAACAAATTTTGTGATGCACTCCTAAAAGTAGGCATTTGTTCCTATCTTCTTTATTAATATTTGGCTTAACTAATTGTCATGCCATATCCCGTGATTAAGAAGATATCTAGGAAGTATTATCCAATTAATTAATTAATTAATGTTAATTGAACAGATAATACGACATGGTTGTTGAACAAAACCTCATTTCTTACCTCTGGTGTTATCCACGCAGTCCCAAAAGTCAGCATGGTTCATGTATTTGCAAAATATATTAACTCAGTTATTGACAGTATTGACTTAGTAAATCCAGAACCAGAAACAAACTTATAACAATAAAATATATGAGTATCAATCCGGATTCAAAGCTCCTTTATTTTCTTATTGCCGGCACACCTAAACAATTTTGTTTGGGTTCAAAACGTTCGACTTTTTTCATACCTTACTACCAAATCCTAATTGATGATTTTTATGTTGTCTAGTGGTGTGTGTATTATTTGACTCGCTAAGCAAAAAACAAACAACATTAGTTAAGAAAAATGAAATAGAAAAATAACAATAATAATAATAATAATAATAATAACAATTACATTGCGCGTTGAGGAAGTTATGTCATTGTATATATCTGAGACGTGAAGCAAACATTTAAACATGCGATTACTGCAATCATAATACAGAAGACTTGCCAGCACTACAGTTTCTTATAAACTCAGAAAGCTAAATCTTGTCATGGCTCTTGCATAAGAACTTTATTTAATACGGCCCTTTAATTTGTAGTGTTTTATTATCCGAAAATTTTGATTTCTTATGGTAAAAGCTGATCAAACATATGGCTTCTTCAGTTGTTCTTTGTCCAGCTATCGTCATGTCATATAGCAAGTGCAGGATCCGTCAAAAGCTACCCCAAATCAAAGCTCACAGCTATAGAGATGAAGGTATGTTGTTTTCTTTCTTTCTTTTTCGGCTTACATCTGTTAACTTTTAACAATGTAATATAATTTTTACACTATCAGATCATCTAAAAGATAAAAATAATCATCCATAACAAAATGGAATTAATAACCTGAAAAATGAGACAGTTAACCTAGCACTGTAATAGGTTAAAGTACATTGATAGTGTAAAAAATCATTATACTCTATCTCAATATACATAAATCCTGTTTAGAATAAGAAAATCTTTTGTTGGTCAGTAAGGTTAAGTGAAAATTGCAGGGAAATCAAGGCATGTAGTTGATGCAAATTTACAAGTTTTAAAGGAAAGAATGGAAGAAGTGAAGATGAAAGAGAGATTAGAGAGGTGTTTGGCATGTGAGCAGGGTTGGAATTACACAGCTACTACTAATACTGCAAGTTTATATTTACAGAAGAAACGCAAGAAAGAATTGGATTACATATCTCAATGTGTTGAACTTTTTTGCATGGTTGGTGGAACTATTGGATTTACTATACTTGGCTGTAGTCTTTGCCTTTACCTTACTTCCCTGCTTATTCATTTAAATCTTAGCAACTGAGCATATATATGGAATTGTGCTCAAGTAGCAGTGCTGTGATTCTATTTGTAACTATGTGATTATTTTCATTTTTATGCATATATTCTGTTGGGGTAATTAATTTCCCTATAGCTTGTAATGACAGTCGACAGAGCTTATTTTTTCATTAGCTCTGCTATATCCTTTCCAAGACATTTGAAATCCATTGTTAACTTTTCCTTCTTAGAAAGTCAAAAGAATAAAAAGCTTTGGGAATTAAGCACTTTGTTGATTCATGTATTCATAGTTGCAAGGATACAATGTTTCATTTTTCAGATAGAAAGCAAAAGAGAACTTTGGAATATCTGGGCAACATATATTGCTGCATAATAAATTTTTAAAAGTAAAAGTAATGAAGAAGCCAACGTGATTTACAGAAGAAGAGAGAGAGAGCTTTCTCAACCAAAGCAATGTAATTGCTTTTAACGGTTAACAACTTCCTAAGAATCTGAGTGCTCTTGATCGCGGAGGAGATATTGATAAATTTTAAAATAAGTCTTAAAAAAGTGAGAGAGGGAAGTTATGAAGAGGATTAGCGTTTTAATTCAGTTAATGATATTTGAAGACTACAAAATAACATTTGGAATAAAGTGGCAAATTTTTTGGTCAAACCAACTTATGGCTTTATAGGTAATTAAGCAAAATATATATATATATATATATATATATATATATATATATATATATACTTATAAGCCAATATGACCAGCTTATAAGCTTAGCCAAAAACATACTACTATATATGTGTTTTTTTCTTCACTTTTCTTTCCAAGCAAAAACCGAAAGTCTTGTTTTAAATTAAAACATCATTAACATTTGGTTTAAATTGTTCTGTTTCATTTTTGTTTTCTTTTTTGCGTGAGTTTATAAAGTCAATTTTATGAATCACAATTACAAGTTTTGTTCATAGAAATATAACTTTAAAGAGGAATACCGAGGTCATCAAACAGCACAAACCAAAACTGTAAAATTAATAAACCGAACCATACCAAATTTATTTCGATATGGTATTGGTATAACATATTTTTAAAACGAAAACCGAAAATACAATCTTTCAAAATAGTACCAAACCGACCAATGACCTCCCCTAGTTCCTTAGGAATGCTACAGTCGCTACACGTGAGCCTACAGATCCTCCAAAAGAGAAGGTAGGATAGGTGCGAACATGATCAAGATAGCGGAATGGAGGAGAATCTACTGAAGCTTCTCGGTCACCAACTGCTCCTGGTTGTTGATAAGCAGCATTCCTTCTTTGATTGAGCGTATCCACTTCTTCTACCAATTCATCTTTTGTACTGTTACATGATGTAATTACCTACAAGAGGTTACCAGTCAGGTAAAAGAGCAGACAAAGATAGATAATTTTGGAAGATCATGATGAATTCCCATTCACAAATAAATAGATAATCTTGTACGCCATTATATTAGAAACAATCAAGTCGCAAACATTCAATTAATACCCAGAAAAGTCGATAAAACTATAGGATGTTAACTTATCAATGTTTCTAATGGGAATGTAAGTCCAACATTAGTGGTCACTACAATGTCCCTGCATCTGTTCTTTTGGATTTTGATGGGGTCCTGGGTTACTATCAAATTATAGTAATTGATTAATTAGAGAAATGATTGCACTGAATAAAACTATAAATAGGACAGAAGTCAGAGGAGCTCACCAATAATCCACCAGGAGCAACAAGCCTTGAAACAGAGTCCCAGTACATAATCCTGAAATGACCATAGAATAACGTCAGATAGAAACGTAGCATTGTTGTATGTATAAGAATCAGGGAACACCTTAACTATATGAAAGGGGACCAAAGGAGACAAATAAATATGCTCATTAAGGAGTTAAAAACTTTTAGAGAGGACATTTATTTATTTAGTGATTTTAGGTCTTGAGCCAAACACGTGAAAATACTTTTGTTGGCGGACGGTAATACATGAATGATGGGTGGCACTAATACTTAAAACTCAGAATCTCTGCCTACTTGGGTACCGTACTAAATTGTGTCATCAATTCAACTCTTGAAGAAGACACTTCTATTTATTTATTTGATTGAGAGTGACTAACAGTCTAGGCCATTAGAGGGAGGTACCCAGAGTAAAGAGCGTTTTAGGACATGAAAGATAAAAACAAGACACATGTAACATACATGCAACATACATGATTCTACCTTTTGATAGGACCATCAGGATGCAATCCAATGGCATCTAAGGTCCCCTTATCCATAACTAGCTGAAACCTTTTATCCAATTTTGTCTCAAGAATGTCATCAACCTGTTAGCCAGTAGAAATTTGTTTAACCACGAAAAAGAAGAAGCCAATCTCCAGCAAAGAGAGCACCAGATAAAGAAGCACACATGACAAGAGCACAAAATTAATAAGATCCCGATTGCAATTGTTATGGAAGGTTCTTCCCTACGCAAAAATTCCGCGTTTAAGTTAGCACAATGTTTGTACTCTTGATCACCGAACATGTATAATCAGTGCTATATCTTCCAGTGCAGGAACTTAATAAACGTTTCATTGCGTGCGGACACAGTATTGATGGAAATGTCAGGAGTATGGGGAAACATTCACAAGTAAAGATGATTTAAACTTGCTACTATCTGTATATCTAGCCACCTGAATGTAACCAACAATGAAAAATAATAGAGACCGCTTAACATAAAGAAGATAATAGAAAAGCAGTTATTCACCACAAGATTTTGAATACAACAAAAAGAAGCACTGGTTTTCCTTTTCTTTTTTCGTACTGGATTCAGATGCTGCTGTGTATACATCAGTGTATTGGATAGCGTGCGGCGACAAATAGCGACGAGGGCCCGCTTCACTGAGGCGAGAGGCGCGCAGCGAAGCGCTCGCCTTTTTGATGTGAAGCGACAATTTATACAAAAACATAAAATATTATATACATATAACTAAAAACTCAATAACAATAATATATTAATAAATATATCATTCAAAAATTAAAGACTCAATAGATAGTCATAGACTCATAGTAGATTCATAAACTAAGTATATAAGTATAAGACTATAATTCTATAATTGAAAAAACAGAGCAAACAAAAAAAAGGTTGTTGCCTCTGGAAAAACAGCAAAGAAAGAAGAAAGAAAAACAGAGCCAAAAAAAAAAAGGCTACTGCCTCTGGAAAACAGCAAAGAAAGAAGAAGAAAAATGAAGAAACTAACAGCAAAGAAAGAAGAAGAAAAACAGAGCAAAAAAAAAAGGCTACTGCCTCTGGAAATCAGCAAAGAAAGAAGAAGAAAAATGAAGAAAGAAAGAAGAAAGAGCTGATTATTGAATGATTGAAGAAAGAAGAAAGAAGAAGAAAAAGAAAAAAGAAGAAGTCGCTGCTGAAATAGAAGAAGAAGAAAGTAGAAGAAAAAAGGATAAGAAGAAGAAAAGAAAAGAAAGTAACATACCTGGTGATGATGGCTGATGATGGAAGAAGAAGAAGAAGATCGCTGAAGGAGAAGAAGAAGGTCGCTGCTCGTCGCTGAAGGAGAAAAGTGAAACCCAAGCCCTAATTTTGTGTTTTAATATTAATGCTGCCTTTTCTTCCGTTTTATTCAAAAAGCGAAGCCTCGCAGCGCCTCTCACCTCGCAGCGCCTCTCGCTACACAGGCAGAGGCGCTCGCCTTTTCTTCCTCGCAACACAACAGACCAAAATAGCGATGATGTCTCGCCTCGCGTCGCTACACACTATTAGCGCTGTAGCGCTCGCTATTTACAACACTGGTATACATCACAAATTTGCTTAATTAATAAAAGACAAAGGTAAATTTTTACCAAGAACTTGACATTGGTGAAACCATCACGATCAGCAAGGCTTTGTGCAAGGTCAACTGCTCCTTCACTATAGTCAGTTCCAGTGAGATCAGAGAACCTAACGCCATATGTAATGTGTATTAGTAAGTAATAATCTTCGGATTCTCCCCCTCCGACCCACACACACCGAGAATGTTTAAGACTAAAATTGATTAAAGTACTGCTAAAACAATGATAGGTTCTTAATATAATAAGACCTGGGCACTTCTAATAGAAGCGAAAAGATGTAGGTGTAAATGTGTGATAAGAAAGCCATATAATCTCCTAAACTATATTAACCACAAGAGGTACATAGATGTTGGCCACTAGATCACTTCCATTTTCCCCACCGAGCCACAGGGATGGACATGCTAAATTAACTACTCAATCTGTTATCTAGGTACAACTACCATAGTTATATGCATAATCTCTCTCTTTCTTTAAGATTTTAAAGTTATACATTTATCTTTTATTTTTCATCTTCCAGAAGTGTTGTTAAAGACTTGCTTAAAGCGCGCTTAAGCCCTGAAGCTTGGTGAATCTTAAGTTGTGCGCTTCACCTAGCTTAATTGGCACTTTAGTGTAAGCGTCAAGTTGCTAAATCATGCACAAACATACAGAAACCTTCATGACAACTGTTTAATACCCTATGAACTAGGTAATTCACAAAAGTTTTCACCGTGACAGTATGGCTCTTTAACAGGTTATAGAGAATATGCATCAAAAGCATCTAGGACAAGAAAGCTCATCTATTGGTTACAAAATGACAAACGAAGCAAATAGCTGGCTATAGATGTATTGCTAGCAAAAAAAATTAAATTTACCCTTGTTTAGCAAGCTCTTGGAGAAGCAGTCCATTGCCAGTACCAATATCAAGCACACTCCAACCAGACAAGTCCTTCTCACGCTGCACAACTGGCTCAGAATTGGCATCAGCTGCGTGATTTGGCAAGTGGCCCTGGCAAATGTCCATGCACAAACCTTTGGTCCAAGAGGCAACAATTTCCATGACATTGCCACCAAACCTATGCAAATACAGCAAAAATATACACATTAAAATATCTCTTTGACCAATATGCAAGCACCACCCTCTCACTTATTTTCCTGGTTATCATTTAGGGGGTTGGAACGTAAAAGCCTAAAAGGAAGAAAGCAAGACCTGAAAAATTAATTATTCTCTATGATTGGAATAAAAATATCATAAAGAGCTAAATCTAGATCTTACTCCAGCCAATCATCAAAGTGCCATGCTGTAGATCTTCTATACATAAAAACTCTAGTTATGAAATACCCGTTCATTCTCTCAGTTACTATGAGTTTCCACTAGTGATCCACACACTGAAACAAATACTGTATGACTTGCTTGGTAGAGAAGTTATAGAGCGCAGAGGGGAAGCATTTCTTAGAATTCTTC